TCAGAACCAGTCTAGTCAGCTGGCCACCAAGATGCATTCTGGTACATGCATCTTCCAGCTGGCGGAAACCAGAAAGAATATTCTCACCAGTGAAAGCCAAGTTCTCAAAACAGAACAAGACAAAAGCAAAAGCTCATCCAGTCTTTCTTACATGCACATTAACAGATTCTGCTAAGCCTTGAGTGTCTCAGAGCCAAACTAATACCTAGGCAGGATGTGCCACTGGGTTAGGGATTGTGTGGCATTTATAGTCTCTCTTTGCATGGAAATTTTCTTAATGTTGGTGGGTAACTTGGTATCAAACTCACTATTTCCATGGTCAACTTATCCTAACACAGAAGTCTTTGGGTTAGGTGGCAAGCATTTAAAACCTCCTAATTGTTTGACCCATGCCCACCAATTTTGCAGCTTTGGCTTCCAAGATGTCCGTTAGCAACAGCTTTTACCTCATGTGCACATTAATGCACAGCAAAGTTTATCTATATAGAATCTGTTGTGGTGAGATCTGTGAACTCACCAAGTCTGTAAGCCTGTATCAAACAGCAGTCTTATACTGCCTGTGTCAGAAACAGACAAAAACAATTACCATCTCTGGGAGGAAAAGGATCAATAAAAATCAAGAGTGTTTCTAACAAATCTTTCCCAGAGTTCTATACACAAGGAGCTAGTTCCACAAATATTTTCTCTGGCTAATCTGAGTTTAGAAAAGAAGAAAGAACTCTTGCCACTCTTGCTTTTACCAGACCCTGAAGGCAGAGATCTAGGAGACTGATACTGTAGGAATTCTTACCTTCTGCCAGGAATTTGTCAGAGGTCCCAGGATCTCCCAGCTATAGCAGCTTCGGAGCCAGCTGTGTTCAGTCAGTGAATTTCATCCCTTTTTGGTTGCCAACTAGAGGGAAGGAAAAATTTTTCCTCTACCCTTCTAGGTTCTTTTGTCTGGTCTATTAATTAAATTGACAGAAGACAGATTAACAAGGGAAAAAATTTTTGATTTTTACCTATGGGAGCCCCACAAAGAATCAGGCTCCCTGACAGGCACCTGAGGCTTACATGCCATTGTGAGCTAGGAAGACGGTAGGGATTTGGGGCTTCAAGGGAAGGAAAACAAGTCACAGGAAGATGGAAAGAGCAAATGTTGGTAAACAAATATCTGCCATGTTACACAGAGACAGTGGGACACAGAGAGGACTTTGAATAAACAGGCCCTGCCAAGCTCCCTGCAGCTTACCGTGCCTAGTCCATACTGTTTCTGGTGACAGCTCTCTTCCTGGACCAGGCCCCCTATCTAAATTCTTTTAGGCAGTTGGGGGAGGTAAAAAGCTTTTCCTGAGTCTTTTGGTTATTAATTGTCTTCAGCTTAAAATAACCAGCATGCCAAATGGCAGATTCTGGGAAGACTTGTTCTGAACTCTTCACAGTCCAAGTAGAAGCTGCAGCTAGTGCACACAGACTTAAGCAGTAATAAGCTTGAGTATATTTGTCAGAACACTGACGCAGTATTTGCAAGGGGTGGTTGGCACACACCTCAGATACTTTCTTCTAAGATATTACAAGTCATTAGTTTTCCCTATCCATACAAAACATGTTCCTATTCTAGAATCCTTTTCTTATTACTGGCTTCATCACCCACACAATCATAGGAGTGGAAACCAAACCAAACCACTGCTTTCTTTTGCTTACACTAGGTGGCCCCACTTCCCACCTAACTCACAAACTAGCTGCAAGACAGAATTCCCCTTTTAGATTCCCAGCGCCAAACTTACAAGCTTGTCTTTAACTTGAAAACCTTTTTCTATTTTTCCTCATGTTATGCTCTGGGTCCATCTCCCTGCAGACTATTCAGGACTCTTAGATTATACATTATCCCATTCTCTTTTTCTTAAACCTCTACTGAATACATTCCATTAGTTTTTAAACACTTAAATCTTTCTTACCTTAAAAAAAAAGGAGAGGCAACCTTCTTTCTTCCCACCAGTTATTTATTATCTGCTCTCTCTAAGCCTTTACAGCTAACTTTAGTTATTTCATTTCCTTGCCTCCCACTGATTCTTCAATAATTGTCTGCTGCACTCAACACACACCAAAGTAACTAAGGAAAATCAGTGACCTAAATTTATGTTGCTAAATTTAATGGTCATCTCTCATTCTTTGTCTCAGCCTCACTACCACAGGACACTTATCAATTATTCCTTCATGGAAATACACTTGTCCCTCACTCTTTTTCTTTGATTCTCACTCTTCTGAAACATTCCTGTTTCTGACATCTACTAGTTCACTCTCTTCTACCCGCCCTTTAAATGTTAAACTAGCAAGAAATAATTAGAGTTGAGTATTTACATAAGTGCATAACCTAATAGAAATGTTTTAAAAGAAAGGTAGGTTCACTGAGGACTCCAAACCAAGAATGGTTTATTCATTCATATCATCATGGGTAGTGCCAAATGTATTTTGGGCACTAGCAATTCAGGAGTAAAAGGCAATGTTTCTGACCTCAGAGTTTACACTATAGAGACAACATGTAAAAAATGCCAAATAGCGATAAGTAATAGAGACTATAAAAAATATGAAGCAGAGTAAGGTCATGAGCATGATAAAGAATGGTATTTAGAGACAAGTCCAACTCAGGAAGTGACATTAAGCAGGGACCTAAATGAAAACAGTACATAAGCCAAAACCATCTCAGAGGAACAGCAAGAGTAAAAGCCCTTAGGTAGACAGGAGGTTAGCAGATTGAGACATGACAAGAAATTCATTAGGTCTATAGTGGAGTTAATGAGACTACAAGGTAGTTGAAATTGTAGAGAGGGGCAGAGATCAGACAGCTAGAATCTTGCAAAGCAAGGTAGAGTTTGGATGTTTATTGAGAAAGGCCACTAGGAGGTCTTGAGCAAGGAAATGGTAGGATTTATACTTTTAAATCATCATAAAGATGTAATCTAATTAAAAGTTTGATGAGAATTGTTTACTTTTCAAGGGCTCACATTAAGTGGCTTTAAAAATCGAATCAGAAGAAATATCACAACAAAGTAATGAGAAATTACCTTATTACAGAACAATTTATTTAATAATCACTTGGTATAACTTAAGAAAGAATAAAACCTATAATTCAAACACTTTCCAATTTATGTTCTCACCTTTAAAGTCCAAACACGGGAATTCAAAGCCTTTTACAATCTACAAAGATTTTAATCAAGTAAATATTTCCCTTTCAAAGTTTCTTAAGGATATAGATGCTAAAATTAAAAGCCTTAAGATTTATGTGATAATCAGAATTCATCATCTACAAAAAACATCAATATTGCCTAGACCAGGAAAATTTGAAGCTTCACTTTCTGCTTTTATTATACGATTGTGTACAATGTTATGCCTAAAGATGAAAAATGGGAACGTATATATATATATAACATTGTGGCCAATTTTATATACTTCTCCCAACTTGTATTAGTTTATCCTTTACATTTTCACAAAAAATGATTCTCCAAATACAATAGTACAAAAGTCATTTTACCTTAAATAAAATCATGAAAGTACTGTTTACTTAAATGTTCAACAAATCCAACACTTTTGCAATGCAATTTTTAAAGTCAAACTTACTTCCTGGTGTTTATTAGAAAATAAACCCAACTCATAAAATGAAATGCAGATAGTAAAACCTCATTAATTGGAATCAAGGGAAAATCAATATGAATACCAAAATGTTTGGAAAGAAATGCAATTTTGCTAACTTCCCAAGCCTAGTAACTTTATTTTGCCTGTAAAACTATTGAGAGGCAGTGCTTGGCACATAATCAGGGATTTGCAACCGTTCTTGCAATTAAAGTACCAAGTAGCTCAGTCCTACTGCAATTATGATGTTAGTAAGCAAATAATATTTTTAAAGGGCAAGGTTTTCTTTTCTCTCTTAAGTGGGTTGTTTCCTTGAAATCTTCTTTAAAACTTCTATTTAATTTTCATTTTTACATGTTGTGAAGCAGTAAAGTTCTAGTTAATGAAGTTTTACTACATCTGGGAATTCATATTTTGAACAGTGCTTTGACAACATCAAAATAATATGAATTCAATGAAAAAAATCTCCTTTACCCCTAGAAGTAAGACAATTTTCTGTCAACAAGTCATTATATCAACTAGTCATGGCAAATTAAAATTGGATTTTCCAATGTTACTTCGCATGTTTTCTGCCTCTTTTATACCGGTCTCTACTGTCTGAATATGCTTATGGAATACAAGACAATTTTATCCAAACAGAAATAATGAAAAATCAAATAATATGTGGCACTGTGAAGATAAATTCCATGATTATGTACATTAGAATTATACCCTCCAACAGTACAGACACAAAAAGTTGACGTTCTAAATAAAAATAGCATTAGTTTCACAGCTACAATGAAAGCTGTTATCCTGAAATCAGAGGCTTTGAGAATTTCAATACCCCTTTGCAAATGCTACCTACCCTTTGTAAAAGTCAAATATACTCAAACTAGTAACATTATATGAAGGTCATTAACACAAAAAAATCAGCAAAAACTTTGACAATGCTCAATGATTTTATAAAACTATGCTAGTTACTGGACTTAAAAAGTCCAGCACTTTTAAGTAGCACTTAAAAAATATAATGTAGACCTGGGCTAAAAGGACAATGAAGTGAGAAACATACATATTAAATAGACAAACAAATGAAACACTATTAAAATGTGAAATTAAGAAGTTATTTTTTTAATTGAAGATACACTTTTTAACTAAAAAACTCTTACACTGATCATGTAAATAATCCTACCTATACTGTCTGTATAAGAGGCTCAAGGAAAGATACAGTACAGTATTTAAGCTGCCAGTAATGTCAACCTCAAGAGGCTGAAGGCATAGTACATCCCTTGGAAGAGAAATCTGGCAAAATAAGTTTATTCCTTTTTTTCTCCAATGTGGTAAAAAAACAACAAAAAACTCAGGTATCCCCAATGTAATGAAGACTCATTTCAAGTAATTACTCTGCTTACAAGTTTTATTTACACAGTAATTGTTTTAATAGTGGTTTTTAGTGAATTCCTTATATTTACATTTTATATACATATTTATACTTGAAAGGTAAAGAAACTGTACAATAATAAAAATGAGAAAAAGAAATACAGTAACTTAAGTCCAGCTCAGGAAACAAATACATCAAAGTAAGATTAAATTTAAGCAGGTAGTATAATCTCAATTGAGATTACTGCCGGGGTTACGTTCCCTCTGTCGGGGCCACCAATACCAAGGAGTAGTTACCAGAGTGAAAAATGTCATTCTAAATCCCATTGAGACCCTGGGCACTCCCTCAGTATTTTATTACACGACTAGTTTCCACTAAGCAAGCTCCTATGACAGAAGTTAACTCTGAGGGTTCCACTAGTGGTCCCTAGGCTAGAATGACCCATGGGGTAAAAATATATGGGCACCATCTGGTCCCATACTCTTAAAGAGCAGTCACTACACTAACAAGGTTCTCAGGCTTGTTAGTTGGAAACTATATACCACTAACAGAAATAGTGTGCTTAAATGTTGTTTCAAAGCAAACTACAACATAAAAGCATACTATAACTAGAATTATTAACCAAATAGCATGTTATAGAGATATCACTTACAATACCTAAGTGATTTATTTTAGGTTCAAGAATTATTATAATAAATTTATTTTCAATTTACCAATAATTAATATCTTTACCCATATGCCATCAAAGGTAGACTCATTAGAAAAAAGTTAATTTTTTCTTTTTCTTTACTCTTATTTCCATTGATTAGAAATTATGCACAGTGTTTTACAAGTCATAGACTTGGCTACATATTAAGAATTCAGTCTTTAAACTGGAATTAACAAATTTTGTTTCTACAATGAAGAAATTTTAACTAAAAAAATTTAAGTCTTGCCAAGTAGCATGCTGTTTAAGAACTCTCAGAATTCATACTTTTAATTCTTACCAGTGAAACACTTCATTCATATTTGTGGGCTTACTCCCCAAAATCAAGTCTGAAGTCCACTAAAGTGCAAAGAACTTTTCTTCTACCAGTTAGCTTTCTTAAATTACTAAATGAACAATTTCTTAGACTAGAAACAGAAACTTTAAAATTCTTTGAGTGATAGTAATTCCCTAAGGAAAAAAAATTCCCTTCAGCAAATAGACATGATACTGAGGAAAAACACCTAAACAAATGCTAAATAATCTCCCACCAGTATTTCCAGTTCCCAGATAGCCCAAATTTGCCCAACCTGTGAATGAAGATGAATGACAACTTCAGTAACAAATAATTTATAATCAAAGTTTCTTATTCATGGTCTATAATATCATCAAAAGGTTGGAACTGGAGATCATATCTGTACTAAGGTTTTTCGAATGGTAGTTTGGAAGTTAAAGTAGTATTTAAAATCTTGCTCTGACCTCCAGAGAGCTTTTATGGTAACTGTTAAAAAAAAAGAAAAGTTGTAAAATCTTGAAGTATCTCCAAAGCTATTAAAATTTTTTTATTGCATGAACCTGTTCACTCCATATTATGGAGTATTAACTAGCCATTTAAACAGTTACCTTTGTAAAATGGCCCTCCCTACAAAATACTTTTCTATTAATACTGTCAATAGGTTACTCATTTCATGTACTTCAACCATGGAATTCAAAATCAGCAGTTTTCCATGTCTTGATTTAGATTTCTCCAACATTTTCTTCCATGCTTTTTACATAGAAATAAACAATTTATCAAAAAGACATTTATTGTATTAAATTAGTCTGTTAATTTTGAAGATTAGCTTTTCAGAGCAGGACTATTATTCTTGACTCCTTCTTTAATATCCTTCATTACAGATGCAAAGACCTGGAAATTATATAAAGTAAAGGTTAATCTTCAGAAACTACCATGCAAATTAAAGATATTTAAGGAATTATAGTTTCTTAACATGAAAAAACTAGCACATTTAACTCTCTCCCGTGGAAAACTGCCATTCTCAAATCCTCTTGTTTGTTTCAACCCAATTTTATGGCATATAATTGGATTCTAGTTTTCATCACTTGCCAAGTATTCTGAAATTACTATTCTTGAAATTTGGTAAAAAAAACATTTTCTGGACCAATATTCTTACATTTCATTTTCATAGGCAATAAAACTATGAGTTTCTCTGTTATTCATGGAACAAGTAATAATGCTATCTTTTATGACACTTAACTTGGACTGCCAATATTTGCTTCCCTAGTAAGACTAAGCATCTAAAAATCCAGGATCATACATTATATTCTTTCTATTGCAAACTTAGTACACAGCAGGTGTTTAATACAATTGTTGTCTATTTGAAATACTAAAGTAACTAATTGTTCTGGCAAATACATGACAATTGTAGGTTGTATTTCCCTAGACTCATAAAATATTATTACTGGGTTTACATAAAAATAAAATCATAGGTTCAGATAGGTGGAAGACAAGGAATGTATTTTAAACTCTTGCTTTTTCAAAGTTAAAAATTATTTTTAACAAGTTTTTTTAACTTAAGCATGAACCTTTGAGAAATACATAACTTATTTTACAAGAAGTCAACAATTATTTTAACACATATATTAGAGGTAGGAAAATATCACTCTACCTGAGTCCATTTTTTGGCGCTATTCTGCATCTGAATGGCTGCAATACAGCTGAACAGCTTTTCTGATGTGATATCTTCTGGTAATTTAGTTAGAAACTGTGCTATATGAATAAAGTCCATCTGTAGGAGAATATCTTCATACAATCGAAGGATTCCTAATCCAGTCCTAAATAAAAATTCCTCCCCATCTCTGCAAAATACATCCCAGACTCGACAGGCTAGATCAAGTGGTAGTGATTTGCTATATAATGTGAAGATCCTAAAATCAGGGAGAAAAACAGTCACTGAAATTTTCACTCACTCATTAAATAAGCATCTCTATATAAAAATAACAGTGCTTATTTAGGGAAAAAAGGCAAATAAGATATGGCTCCTTCCTTCAAAGAACACAAGTAATGGGAAACTAAGTAATAAATAATGAAATTATGTGAATTTATAACCTTACATAGAAATACTGACCTAATACAAACTAGAGTGGTAGAATAGCCTAGTGGTTAGTGGTATGGACTCTGAAATCAGAATGTCTGTGTTTGAATCTTAGATTTGCAACTTATCAATCGTGTTACCTTGAGTAAAAGAGTTACCTTGCTGTGCCTCAGTTTCCTCATTAGCAAGCAAAAGATGATACTACCTACCTCTTAGGATTGTTCTGAAAATTAAAGGAGTTAATAAAGTAAGGTATTTAAAAGTACCTGACACATAAGAAATGCTCAGTAAGTTACTTACAATTATTGTATGAGGAACTCAAGTATCATATTTTAGTAACCTACTCAAAAGTAACAAAATCTTAAAGTCTGACTTCTCTCTTTTCTCTTCTCCTTCCACAAATATCCACTGTCTGTTTTTTCCCTTCACTATGCTGTACTTAATACTTCTTCTAGAGCATGTATACATACACTCCAACAGAATCAGCAAAATGGTTTTCCATCTTTTCTGACAATGTCTGATCATGTAATTCTTTATCCACCAGTGCTTCAGAATGGCATTCTGTTTGGGAAGTAGGAAAGAGCAGGTGCTAGACAACTTCTTTTGAAACTGCCTTGGCAAAGAAAGTGCACATTTTTTAATACAGACTGTGTTTATTGGAGGTAGTGCTGATGAAACCTGAGAAAGGCAATGGAAAGGCTCTTCCACTCCCCCACAAAAAAATAGCACTGCCACTTATTTATTCCTCTTTTTTCTTGCACAATTGATTCTGGAATTTGTATGTAATGAGTTCAACAGAGTCAGTGAAACAAAAGTCCATGTCTACTTCTTCTTAAATTATAAATACATATTTAACTGCATAACAAAAAGCAAACTCTTGGAGTAGTACAGAGAACACTAGCTCACTGTTCAAAATGAGAATGGGTATCAGCAATGCCTAGGCAGTTTCTTGTACAGAGTACTCGCATATTATTAGGTCCATCATCCTCCTTATATCAGTTGTGTTCCTGATTTGCCTCATATTCACACTCCTTAAGACTGAAAACTGAGGGTTTTTCCCCCTTCTTTACAGATTTAGTATTCAACCCTGGTCCTTTGTGTTCCACAATATAAGACTCTTCTTCTACCATTCCTTGGGTCCTTCCCAGAGGAACTCTAATGTTCCTAGTGGGAATAGAAGAGAATACATTTAAAAATAACTTAGTTTGTTTAAAAGCCTAGGTAAAAGAAGGCCCAAACAACTGGAAAGATACCAGATTTGATCAATACCATTAGTTATTTTTCTATTTAACTTCATATCATTTACTTGAAGCCCACTATATTTTGAATGATTAGGATTTAAGGTTTAAATGTGTTGTATGTATACTCTTAACAACCATGTCAAAATCATCTACTCCATCTCTTTAGCAAAATTCACCCTCCCCACCCCCCCATTCTATAATCATCTGGCTATTGCTCACCAGAGCCTTAGGCAAACCCTCCAGCTAAAAATGGAAGGACTGGAACTATAAAGGTGAAAATACATCAACACCTAAATAAAGCATCATTTCCCTGTCAGAAAGCCTGAAAGCCTTGAAAAAACAAAGCCCTTATTAAAAAAAAAACAAGCCTCTATCATAAGTCCTTGTGTATTAAGAAAAATAAAGGAATTAGCAACTTTAAGACCTCAGTATGTACATCATCACTGAATGAGAAACATGTATAACATCCTCACTGCAACTCAAGATACAGATATAATTAATCCCATTATTGGTAGGAAACTAAAACAAACTGAGGGATTTTGATTTCAACCCAGAGTCCATGTGCTTAATCAAATGCCTCCCCACAAATATGTGGGGAGTTTCTCTATTTATAGGGAAAGGTTTTTTATATGTATGATCCTGTGCATAAGATTTACTCTAGTTCTTAAAAGACACAAAAAGTTATACATTGTTTCCTCTTAATTATTGTACTTTATGTATGTTACGACTTACCAGTCTATCAAGTAGATGTCTGGTGTAAGACTGTAAGATTTGAAATGAAGAAAAAGTTTGGAGAGATTTTCTTCAAAAAATATTTCAAATGTTGCAAAATATTTCAACATCTAAAAACATAAATATCAATTATCAAAGAGTATATACTCTAGAAATAGAGAAATAAAATCCTTAATATCATCAATTAACAAAAAATCTTGCTTAACACCTCTGAGAGTCTTTTCATCAAGCATTCAAAAAATTAAATCAATGAAAAATTTAGATGATAAAATTATTTTAGTCTTCTAATTAAAAAGAGCATTCAGACCATAGCAACTGGAAGTCAAAGGAAAACATGATTCATTCCAAATGTCCATACCATGCTGTGATCCACACGGAAGAAAGCCAACTGACATGGCTTATTCAGGAGATTTGCAAATGCAATGAAGGCATCTGCCTCTTCCAAATTGAGAATGAGAACTGCTGCTATGAAGGACATCCCTTGGACCTTCAAAGGGAAAAGAAATTAACCAAAATATGCTTCCAATAATAATTCTACACAGTTTTAGCATATTCCTGAAAAATTAGTGTTATTACAAAGTAGAATTAGCTAAGATTTCTTAATTTCCCAATGAAGGTAAATATAGCGAAGGTAATACCCACTAATAATTATGAATTCCCCCTAATTTTACATTCCTTGTTGATGTGTTGTGGCTTAAAAAGTATTAGGAAAATTTTTGGAAAAAAGAAAAAAAGTATCAACTTTTACTTGCAACAAAAGCCAAGGACCTCAGTGTACTACCTAGTTTTAATTTTCTCTCAGTCTGATGTCCTTCAAAGAGCACAGCATCACAAAATTTAATGGAAATTAGGTAACTGTTTTCGATGTTTAATGTTTTGGCATATCTGTCTGAGGTAGAAAGTGAAGAACTAAAAATAAAAGATCTATGAGAAGTGCTGCTGAAATTCCAAGAAAGAAGAGAGATTGTGGGGGAGTTAACATAGTGAAAAACAGGAGGGCGAAATAAGGAAAAACATTTCTAAGACAGAAAAGAAGTAGGAGTAAAGACACATAAGACTAGCACACTTGGAGCACAAAATTTATAATAGGAAAAATTAGAAGTAGGATGTATATATAAATTGTGAAAGATCTTGAGTAAAAGGCTAAGCTCTAGAAGTGCTTGCTTGTGAGTTATGGGGAGCTATTGTATATTTCTGAGCAGATTAATGATATGGAACTAATGTAGAAATATTCATTCTTTAAAAAAGTTAGTTAATCAAGTACTTATTTCTGGTAGGGGTTTGTATAATAGACTTACAGAGAACACTAAGAATATTTGCAGTGATACTTCTGTCTCTTATTCCCAGCCAAATGTTTTTGAAAGGTTTGCCTATAATTACTATTTCTACTTTTTTCAGCTCCCTTTAAACTTCCAGCATGCTTCAGCTGGATGCTCACTCTACCACTATACTGTCTTGAAACTTCTCTTGCCAGGATGACCAATGTCCTGGTATTAATTATTGAAAAACCCAATGGACACTTTCCTACCCTCTTAGCAGAATTCCCTTAGCTCCTGTGATCCACTATTTCTTTGTTCTCCTACTTCTCTGGCTTGTGAGTGCTCTTTGCAGACTCTACAGTAATTGCCTATTTGATTTTCTAGAATATAAATTTCATGGGGACAGAGCCTATGGTAGGCAGAATGATTTACCCATGAAGTATCTAAGTCCTTATCCCCAGAACCTGTGAAAATGCTACCATACCTGGCAAAAGGGACTTTGTAGATGTGATCAAGGATCTTGTATTAGATGGGTTATCCTGAATTATGTGGGTAGGCCCAATGTAATCATCACAAGAGTCCTTATAAATGGAAGAGGGAGGCAGGCGGGTCAGAGAGAGATTTGAGGACGCTACACTATTGGCTTTGAAGATGGGAGGTAGGGGATCAAGAGCCAAGGAATGTAGGGAGTCTCTAGAGACTGAAAAAGGCAAAGAAACAGATTCTTCCTCAGAGCCTCCAGAAGGAACACAGCTCTGCCAATACCTTGAACTGAGCCCAGGGAAATCTATTTCTGTCTTCTGATCTCCAGAGCTGGCAGATAATGAGGTTGGGTTGTGTAAAAGCCACTAAGTTTGTGGTAATTTGTTACGGCAACAATAGCAAACTGACACAGTAGGAAGACCACATCTATTTGTTCACAATTTTATTCTTAATATCACAATATTTGCTGAATGGGTGTAAGGGGCAAACTGCTAAGTATCTGTAATAGAAGGGTAGCAGAGCAAATTTAATTAAACCTAAGATGCTGTTTACTGTAGGAAATATTTTATATACCACCACAAAGAAAAAAAAATACTGCCAATTAAACAATGACAATGCTTTCTTAGAATTTTTATTTTACACATATTCATAGTTATTTAAAGCCCATTCAAATTTATCATATATCATTCTTTTGTATATATGAAAAGAAAATAAGAAAAATAAAGTTATTCCTGCAATATCTTCAGAATCCAATTTTTCTGAATAGTCTGTATTATTTATCACCTTGTAGTGTGATATACCAAAACAGGCATGTTGTTGATGTAGTAGTTTTATAAAAATGTAACCTAAATCTAATCATAAGGAAATAATCAGAAAAATACTGCAAAAATTATCAAGAAAGGATCACTGTAAAAACAGTTGGGTTTGACTCTTCAAAAGTATCATTGTTGTGACAGAAAAGGCTAAGGAACTCTTCTAGATTATAGGAGACTAAGGATGTAACACAACTAAATGCCACACATAACCCTGATTAGATCCTGGAAGAGGGGTGGGGTGAAGCTACTGTAACTTTTGTTAGTTTGAAGTTGTTCAAAATAAAATAAAATAAAATAACCCACAAACAATAAAAAATTCATATATAGACTACCCAGCTGAAGAAAATAAAACTTTACTAGTTGAAGAACCTGTGTGACCCATCCACTTTCTGTTACTTGATGCCTCTGTTCCTTCCCTATGCCTGGCTAGGATATGAAGGAGATCATCTGTGTACTCAGATTCCCCATTCTTTGTTATCCATGCATATATGCACACAGATCTTTCTTATTTTAGAGGTTTTACTGATAATCACACTATAGAGAAACAAAGAGTTGTAGTGAAAAATAAATGAAAGTTATAAAGTTTACAAACTTCTCATAGTAATCTCTGAGTCCTCGTCTACTGTTTCAGATTCCTCCTGAGATACTGGGAAATTCAGTTTGTCTTCTTACTTCTACTTTTATTATATACTCACCTCAGAGCCACACTATACTGCAGGCCTAGTTCACTATATGTGCATACAAACAATCCAGGCAAAATAATAGCTACCTATCCCCTTCTTTCAAGGAAGAAAACTTATGACAGAGGACCTACAGACAGGTGACTCTCAAGACCCAAAGAGTTGTTTTGTTTTGTTTTTTTATTAGGTTAATGGTTTATTTATTTTTATTTTGGTATCATTAATATACTATTACATGAGCAACACTGTGGTTACTAGATTCCCCCCATTATCAAGTCCCCACCACATAACCCATTACAGTCACTGTACATCAGCTTAGTAAGGTGCTACAGAGTCACTACTTGTCTTCTCTGTGCTATACTGCCTTCCCCGTGCCCTACCCCCTACATTATGTGAGCTAATCGTAATGCCCCTTAATCCCCTTATCCCTCCCTTCCCACCCATGCTCCTCAGTCCCTTTCCCTTTGGTAACTGTTAGTCCATTCTTGGGTTCTGTGAGTCTGCTGCTGTTTTGTTCCTTCAGTTTTTTTCAAGACCCAAAGAGTTTTAGAAGTAATCTACAACCATTTCCTCACAGACGTAAACTAATACATTTCAACAAACTGAACAACAGTGGTCTTAAACTTGGAAAAGCGTACCCTAGAGATTACATAACGGCTCTCCAAAGAGTACACTGTACACCATCATAGATTATTTTAAGGGACTCCATTCTCAGATCCTCAATTTACTTATGTTTTCTAGAAAACTTACTATGGTAAATTGCTCTGAGGCATGAAATGTGAAACAAAAAGATAATTCCAAATATTGTTTGGGTAAGCCTTTGGCTTCCAATCACATATATGAATAGAAATATGATTGAATTCCACTACAAGATAGAATAGAGATGAGTAATAACAATTTTCATTTAGTGACCACCTCACCTCTTCCATACCACACCTTTTATCAAAGAATGCATAGCTGCTGAGGAAGTGTCCCAAGGAGAACAAAGGAAGAAAACAGCAATATAGATTGGTGCCCTTCATTCTTTTAAGTATAACGAGTGGGAAATATTACCAATTTTTTTCCAGATATACTGAGTAAGCTCCATAGATAAACTTTTACACAGTTTATTTATAGATTCAGTGTGTGTTTTTCATTAATACAGTTTAAAAACCTATTTTGTCAAATAACATCATAAAATATGTATTCCAATATAGTTTATACTACTCTTAAGTCTGATTTGTCTGACTGGTTTGCCAACAAGGTGGCATTATAACTTAGGTTATACTGCAGTCATTTACATAATTTTAGTTAATAAACATACATATTGTAAAATACTAATGAAGAGCTTGTTCACATATTTTTCTTTAAATGGATGATATATATAAAATCATAGTGTTTAAATTCTTTTGGCTATATTTTTTTTTAAAGAGATATGAGTTGAGTTTCACTTAAAAATATCAATGTTTATGGAGTACTAAACATTAATCCTTTACAATTATACTCATGGTAAACATTTTAATGTCAGCTTAAAAATATGAAGATGTTACATAATGTTTTTACAATTCACTTAAGAGAGTTTAGAATCTATTTAAACTGCATTTCCCCCATAAGGACTACCTGACCATCTTCTTTAATACTACAGCCAGCCCCATCCTCAAACTTGGCACTTCCCCCCTCTTTATCATGCCTTACTTTTTTTCCATAGTATTAATCACCTCTTAATATAACATATGATTTGCTTATTTTGTTTGTTGTTTATTGTCTGTCCCCTTCTAAACTGTGAGCACCAGAAGGGGAGGAACCTTTCATTTGTTCATTGAGGCATCTCAAGTGCCTAGGCAATGCCTAGCATATAGCAATAAGCACACAATAAATACTTCTTGAGTGAATAAATAAATAAATTACAGATGAACATGCAACAAAACAAAGTAAGTTGATGAGACAGCCACCCTATTGTAAGGTCTCTATAATTCTTCTAGTTTAAGACCAACATGAGAAAATGAAGGTTTTATGATTTCTAGTAAAACGTGGTAAATGGAACACTCACATTTAACTGTTTTCTCCCAAATCCAACTAAAATGGCAGTAAGAAAAATACTAACCTAGAAGGACCAAGAATATGGAAAATAATATAAACAGTAAATAAAAGATGTCAATAGCATTCTAGAAATTTTAGTTTAACTAAATGGAGAATGTCAAAACTGAAACCTCTGCAGAGGGAGCCAATAAGCAGCAAGCCAATTCAGGAGCCTATGAAACTCAGGGGTAGGGCTAAAGCCAGGACTGACTGAAAATCTGTGAAAGGAGCAAATCCCCTCCCCATCCTACATGGACAGGTATCTATCGTTCCCTCACCCTGACAAAGTATGAGAGATGTACCTGTGGAGGCACAGTCAGGCAAAGAAAGGAAGGTTTAGGGAGAAGGGGAGGAGGCACCACATCAAGAGAGGTGGCGGTAAAGAGCAGTTTACAGACTGAAAGGTGAAAACTCCAGCTACTCTCCCAGAAGCTGGCAGGCAGCCTTGTTAAGTCCCTAGTAGGAGATGGGAGGTTTCCTCTCTGGGTAAGTTGATAGGCTCAAGAGAAAAAGACATCTGGGAGCTCATACAACATATAATACTTTGATAAGATAGATAAAATGCTTATATTCAAAAAACAGATTGAAACAAATACTTACATAACCAATGTCAGGCCTGTAACATGTATATGCCCCTAAAATACTATGTAAGACATCATGATATGGGCCACCCTTAGGAGAGAAAAATGAAACATCAAACTATAGAAATAACGACTCCTAAGCTTATTGTCAAATAATTAATATGTTAATAAACTTCTGCATTTCCTAAATGACTAGCTTTAGTTAGTAAATTTTATCATTGTCAAAAATATTCTAAATGTACTCTGCCAAGTTATCTTCTAAAGAATAAATAAATAAATCTAATCCTGAACAACAAAAAAGCCAAATAAACTCATCTGGTGGATGCAAGGTATATGATTTGTGTACAATTTTAAATTCTAGATTTCATACAGTAAGATCTGTACAACTTCTAGATTTGGTACAGTAAGATAATGATAAGAACAGGTGTTTTGTTTTATATATGTGATTTCAGCAAAGGAAAATTATCAAGCTACACTGTTAAGTTTATTAATTTTAATCTCAATGATAATTTTCATCTTACTTTATCAATCTACAGAGAGGAATTCCATGTATAAGAGACTTGAGTCAAATATAAAGTACATATAAAATGTAAATTTCTCATAAGGTATAAGCAGCTCTGTATCAGCCTCAGCACAAAAAAGTAAACCATTTTTTCCTATTTTAATAATAATACTGAAAAATTTTAAGTTGTGGGACAAAGTTCTTTTTAACAATTTACTAGGCAAAATGTTAAAATTCAAATATCTTACAGAATAAAAAGTAAAACAAATTCACCTCAATGAAAACTCATCAAGTACCTACTACATGAAAGGTATTAGCTGTTATGCTAATGGCAATACATTTGGTCAATGGAGTAAAATAACAGAAATTCCTTTAAAATTTTCTTACTAGTTTCACACTTTTTATATAAAGGTCCCCAGTTTTTTATGTTTATCTTTTAAAAAGTAATAGCTATGCATTTAGAGAGTTTGTTCCCTTGAATTAAAAAAAGCAGTTACAAACTGGTTAGACCCTCACCTTCTGGAAGATGTAGAGAGATGGAAATGTACGGGATATGTCCAACTTAATTAATTCCAGACTGGCCTCCCGATCAGCAACAGATATACCTGCATTTATCATGTAGGTAAAATTAAAATGATTACTTGGCTGTACCCAGTTCAATTTTGTAAGCAAAGAATGATCATATTGCATATATGTTATTTAGGTAAAGTTAAAAGCTGAATAATCAAGAAATTTAAAGAAATGCCACATAGCTTTTGATGGAACTTCGAGCCTCTTATATGAAGAAAATATCATATACTTATCAGAAAGTTTTTTAGTGAAAGATTTCTACTTCTAGTTTTTACAGAAGGTAGGGGCAGACTATCACTCCCACAGTAACAACCAGGAAAAAATAAATTTCAAATATAACATAGTTTTTTAAAAAGGCCGAAAAGCAATGGACACAGAAAGTTCCAGAGGATTTAAATGCCAGAAAAAGAGGAGCCTTTCCTAGGTGAGTGGAGACCAGGGGCTGGTTTTCTTCCTAGGGGCATCTACACCAAGTCTGGTCATGGGCTCAGGACTAAGCTTGCCATTGACAAAGGTACTCTTGCTTGGGGAAAGAGAAACAAGAAGAGCTTTTCATGGCTAAATAAGCTTTTTGTGGCTAAAGGATGTGATAGGAATAGGAAGAGCCTGAATGTGTATCTGGTTTACCCCTATGAGACTTTTGCTGAATGCTAAGTGTAGTGCAATAGGGCAGCTGGAAAGGCAGAATGAAAATCTCTCCAAATCACATGATTCCTTGAAGAGTGTCTCATTAGATGAAGGAGCATGTAGTCAAAACAGGAGTTCCTCCCATCAAGAAAATTGAAACCCAGGATGAACTAAGTCTATTTAAAGCTGCAGTAGTGCCCTAACCTAGCTCAGTTATTGACTTAATTGAGTTGATAATCCAACTGCCAAATAGAAAAGAGCATGCTTCCTTGACAGAGGAAATAATCAGCTTCAGTTTATACATTCTTTTTATATGTAATGACTGATATACAATTTAAAATTTTAAGACACAGAAAGAAATAGGAAAATAGGACTTATAATCAAGGGTAAATAAAGCCAGCCAATAGAAGTAAACCTGCAGAATATCCAGTATTGGAATTAATGAACAGGAACATTAATGGAAGAAAATAAAGGAGAAGATGGGAGTAAATGTATGGGATGGAAAGAAGAACAATTCCCACAGAAAAACAGAATCTACAGAAAGAACCAGGTGGACATTATAGAATTTAAAAATATAGTATCAAAATTAAAGACTCATTGGATAGGTTTAATAGACTGGATATAGGAAAAAAAGAGGATTAGTGAACTTGCTTATAGGTAAATAAAAGTCATCTAAATTGAGGTACAGAAAAAAAAACTTGTAAGAGACTTGTGGGACACTCAGAAATGGTCTAACATACTTGTAATGGAGTCACAGAAGGAGAGAAGTAATATTTGCAATGATGGCCAAAAAGGTCATTAAATGACAATTGCAACTTATAAACACCCAGGAAATAAGAAATCAGTAACTTAAATAAAACAGTACTTTTGACTGGAACATTCAATTAATTTCTATTAAAAGTGCAGCTTCTACCATTCAGTCATGACAACATGTCTCAGAAGTAAATGCTTATAATTTTTATTCTTATACTTTCAATACTTTATGAGAATAAATTTAAAAATAATGAAACAGCTAAGGCCCTGCCCATATAAAACTTCTTACATCTTCATCTTCCTTGCACTTTCAGTTTCCCACAAATAGCTGACATAGCTAGCTAATAGATCTCAGGATATTACATGTACCCTTCCCAAAATCAACTCTTCTCTCTAACCTTGTGTGGTCATTTTCCTCATCCTACTGTTTATTTTTCTAAAACAGAAAAGAGCATTCAAGGAATTTAACTGAGTTGTTCACATACTCATAGAAAATCACTGTGAGATATGCCCCAGTTCTCTATTCTACGCTGTGTTCATTTTTAGAGTTTTACTTACAGGCAAGTGAAGAGGGTTTGCTATATAAGTAGAACAAATACAGAATGAAAAGTGACTGGCAGAGAAATAACTCCCCATTATTAAGGACAACAGATGGTTGAATAAGTTTACCTAAATTTAATAAACTATGATGACACAAAAAGTGTTCTGTTTTCTCCAAAATGGTTAGGGAAAAAAAATGGTGAAAGTGGAGGGAAAGATGGGGGCTATGAATGAGCGAATAAATGAACAGAGATTAAGGCATGATAAGAATTATAAATAATATAGTAGAGTGTGTGTGCAAGTGAACAGAGAGACAGGAGATCACGAGTGTGAAAATCATCTCTCTTTAAGTAAGAGTTGGCCTAAAAATACTTCATCCCATTACTCTTACTGTTGTGATTAAATCCTGGGCTCTGGAATCCAACCAACCACCTGGGTTCACAGCTTTACTGCCTACCTACTTGAACCTCAGTTTCCTCTTTATTGTTCAGGATAATACCACTATTATCAACATTAAAAGTTATTAAAGGGTTGTTAACATTAAAGGAGAAATGTATGTAAAGCAATTATTACAGTTCTGATACATAGTAAAAATTACACTAATATCTCCAGCAACTGTATTTTCATCCAGAAATTTTCACTGAAGAAAAAAATCACACCTTCAGTATCATTCTCTGAACTTGTTTCACTGAAGCTTTTCCAGCGTTCTTTTGCTCTTGAGAGGAAGATTTCATAGAGTTCTGGGGCAGAAAAAGAACAATTATAAATAGTAAGAAATAAATTAACAAATTTTTATTTTTACTCTTAAACATAAAAATATTATTATGGATCAGGTCTCCTCTGTGTTGCAGGCATCAAAAAAATGTGCAAATTCAAGTACTTGACTCTATCAAAACTATTCATTGCACAACCAGAAAGACAGCAAAGAACAATACTGCAAAGTGGTCACCCAAATAGCTATAATATAGAATGCATGTATGCAGGAGGAGACGCTTCTGCTAAAGGAGTATTATTAGAAGAGCAGAAACATCCTTTTTGGAGTCAGTCAGACCTAGATTCAATTCAAATTCCAGCTCTGACATTTACTACCTGTGGAACTTGAAGAAAGTTACTTGATCACTCTGAAACTTGGTTTTCTTCATCTGTAAACTGGAGAAAAATAACACCTACTCATGGGGTTACTTATGATTAAATAACTTATGTAATGCTCCTGACACCATATAGACACTCCATAAATGCTAGTTCTTGCTTTCCTTCTCTCTTGACACTTGTTTCTCCATTATGACATTGCCATCTAAAGCTACCTAAGTTATCCAAAGCAACCTAAACTTCACACAGATTTGGCTAGAGGGCCTACATACAAAAATCTCTACCTCTTATCTTTTTACTTTAAGTGTCCAATCACTTTGAGACTGCCACTCTATGTTTCCATATGCAGGATCTTAATAAAACTTTAAGAGCAAAAGGAAGTGGAAATTTTTCTTTATTCTCAAATTTTAATTGTCTTTACTTTCTAACTAACCACTACAGATATTTTAAATTACACAAAAGCAGTAAATTTCAATGACAGAAGAACAGCAAAAAAAATTTTGTACCTAACACCAACATTTATATATTGTCCCAAATACCAAGAACATTTTTGCTTCAATTAAACTTTTTTAAAAATGTGTGTTTTTAAAGCTAATACATGAACATAACTTTTAAAAAATTCAAATAGTACAAAACAGTATAGAGTGAGAAATAAATTTCCTTCCCTCACATGTAACTATGCTTACCAGAGCTCAAAGATGAAAATATGAATGCACAAGTATATAGACATGTATCTTCCTTAACAAAAAATGTGGCAACATATTACAGCATTCATCTGCATCTTATGATATTATACTGAAAGTTGTTCCATATTAGAATAAATCTGCTTTAGTTTTTATTTTAACAACTGCACAGTATTCCAATGTATGACTGTATAGTACTAAGTATTCTTATACTACCAAGAATCATATATTTCAAGCAAATTGATTTTTCTGATACTTTTCTCTCTTCTGTTCACTTTTCATTACTACTGTTTTAGGAAGCAGAATTAAAAAAGAAATCAAACTTAAAATTTCTATTATTTGTGTCCAAGTCCACCAATGATTTTTATAATTTTAAAATTTAGATAGAATTTTTTTTGCAGTTACCAGGAACCAAACTGAAGTTAGCACCTTTTGATTTCAAGCTGACTCCAAGCCAGGTCCACTTTCACTATTCTACTAGAGTATTAAAACTGTCTTGGAAGAAGAAAGACTTACTGAACAAATCATCACCTTTGGAAGCCACAAAATTGATCCATTAATAAAAATGTAGTAATGTACTTTAAAATATCAAAGGACATCTTTCCAGGGAAAGTTAGAGTACTTATTTATAATAAGGGGACTTGCATCTCAGTTCAATTCCATACTTAATTCCACGTTACACTTATTTTGAATCTATAAATGCAGAACTTAAAGCAAACTTAAAGATGTACCTTGGACTTGAATAGACAATACTCTGAGATTAGTGTATGTTTCACTTTCTGATTTTCTGATGATGATATTGCATATACTCTCAGCAAATTTTGCTTTCACTGTAATTTTATATTATCAAAAATAACTGTTAGAAAAATCCTTTGAGATAGCTAATAATCTTACTCCTATTTTACAGATGAAGAAAAATAAGGCTTCTAGCTTTTAAGTAATTTGCCCAAGGTCACAAACCTAATATATAGTGGAACCAAGATTTGAACCATATTTTACTTAATTACTATCTTATGTGTAGATAGTAATTCTTAGTTATTATCCCTAATGGCTATAAATTTCATAATTTAAAAAATACAACAGGTATAATGAAACTATTAAAGTCTTTGAAGCTTATTTCTCCCCATTTATGACACTGCCATCTAAAGCTACCTAAGTTATCCAAAGCAACCAAAACTTCACACAGATTTGGTTAGAGGGCCTACATACAAAAATCTCTACCTCTGTCTTTTTACTTTAAGTGTCCAACTGAGAAAGTAAAGTTCTCAAAACTAAATTTACTTCAATCAAAATTTAACTTGCTTACGACCACTAATGAAAAATAAGAGAATGAGTATCCATTCCATTAATGAATATAGAATTGTTTAGTGGAGAGGGAACATAAAACTACACTGAAAATAAATGACCCAGGGATGTTACAAACTATAAATTTAAGCTTAAAAAAGAACTTTTCAGTTATATTAATTACATTAATCACACTTAATACCAACTTAGCCAATATTTTAACATTTATCAGGATACCTAAGATTCTAAAGCCAAACTTTTCAACAAACCTGCAAACAAAACAGAATTTCAAATAGCATCACCTCATCTCTATGCAAAATCAATTCTTACGACTTCTAAGAATTACAATATGTTCAACAATCTTTAACATCAAAGATTTTAATTATCTAATTGAAAGTTCTCACTATAATGTAAAAACATTCCCTTTTCATTTATTCTAAGCATAAATGGCAATAGAAACCTTTGTTTTATTTAGAGAAAACAGTTAAGTCAGGTAGATGTTAACCTTTTTTTGGGGGGGGGGATTCTGAGGTACTGTATTCTTTCTTTTACTTTTATTTTGTATTTTTATCAAGGTATTATTGATAAACACTCTTATGAAGGTTTCACATGAAAAAACAATGTGGTTATTACATTCACCCATGTTATCATGTCCCCCCCAATACCCCACTGCAGTCACTGCCCATCAGTAAGATGCCACAGTCACTATTTGCCTTCTCTGTGCTACACCGTCTTCCTCATGATTCCCCAACATCATGTGTGCCAATCATAATACCCGACAATCCCTTTCTCCCTCCTTCCACCCCTCCCCTTTGGTAACCCCTAGTCCCTTCTTGGAGTCTGTGAGTCTGTTGCTGTTTTGTTCCTCTAGTTTTGCTTTGTTGTTATACTCCACAAATGAGGGAAATCATTCGGTACTTGTCTTTCTCCATCTGGCTTATTTCACTGAGATGTTAACCTTTTTTAAGCTGAATTTAAAACTTAATTCTTTCTTTAAATTCTATTTTTAAAATTAAGAAAAAGTCCAGTTAAACTATATTCATTATATTTGTGAAAATCAGTTTTAAAAAGCATACATAATCATGTCATTCAAAGTTGGCATCATTTTAATATTAAAGATAAACATTTAGATTTGTTATAATTCTGTCCAGTTATTTATAATGCTGATTGCTGCAATGAACATCCTTGTAAAAAAGCTTTTGCACCTAATCTTGATAATTTCCTTAAATTCTTATAAATGGAATAGGTCAAAGTATTTCTAAATTTCTTTTAGTCATACTGTATGTTGGTAACTCTCATTCATTTTAATTACTTTTGAGAGGTAAGAAAGAGTACTTTGCTGTTCTTTTAACATATATGTCACTGATTTGGCTATTACTAGGAAAATTAATAAATCATATTGAAGCCAAACTGTGGAATACAGTGCAGCTATAGTACACTTGTACGAACTAACATGGAAGGATGTTCAAGATAGATCATAGTGTAAAAAAAAGAAGCCACACAATAATCTTATAACATAAATTTCTTTTTTTGGAGGAAAAAAGAAAGGAAGAAGAGAAGCCTTAAAAATTATCATATGTAGATGAACATATTTTTTATGTGCTTACAAAAAAGTTGTGGAAAAGCATACACCAAATTGCTAACATACTTATAGTAGGATCAAGAGCAGGAGTTTGGGTGGAAGAGGGGGAAGGGACATGTAGTTTGTACTGCTGCTTGACTTTTTTTCAATAAATATATAAATAACAATTTTTAAGCAACCATAACAATATTAATATTATTATTCTAGAGTCCCTAAGCCCTTCAGTGGTACCAGTGTCTAGCCTTATCACTGTCACTCAGACCCATTTAGTACATTTTATTATTAACTATTTTACATTTTCCCCTATTTGATATTATACTAATTTTATCTTTTTAACTTTTTTAAAAAAAGTTCATCAAAACTACTCTACATTTTACTCATATCCTTCAAGGTTTTAAGAAACCTAAGAAAATAAAATAACTCCATGAGAATCTTCTTCCTTTTGTTTTTTAACCTTAAATTTTTAAAAAAATACAAAAAGACTGCTTTGGGTAGAAATGCAGGAAAATAAATTTCTAGTCTTCTCCCAATATTTATGTTTTTTTGAATAAAGGGGAAACTTTCCCACAATCAGAGTATTTTATTTTTCCTTGTTTATACTTATTCACCCACTGCTTCCTAGAATCCCAGAGGTTTATGCAGTTACCTACAGGTAAGATATTTGGATGACAAGAATATTACTGATGGTTGTAAACTAAAAGAAAACCCACAAATCTTATTTATATAATATGAAGTATAGTAACTTAACTTATTAAATTGTACCAGGTTTTAGAGGGGGCAGGAAATGTAGCATGCTCTTAAAATGACATTATGTATGGTAATGCCTTTTTAAATGGCCAATCTACTAATCTGCTTTGTAGCTCTGGAGATGGCTATTTGTATGTGTGGGAGTAACTGAATATAGAATACAAACCAGGAGTGATATTTAGTTCATTTCCTACAGCTAGACTCCAAACTTTCCCACGAACACTAGGGGGCAATCCCTGCCACCACAATTCTCGAACTCTTCTTGTACTACGCCTAGAATTAAAGGGGGAGAAAAAAGGAGAAAGTTACTTTTTATAACAAAAATACTAGTTGCATGATGGCTTACCTAGCCTGTGGCCAAGTGACTGAATGATTTTTAGGAGCAGAGAGAGTTAAGTGTGTGATGCTTTCTTTCCCTTTGGTTCATGTGTGTAGATAACAAAAGCCTAAAAAATACATAGTAAAGAGGACAACAGTAATGTAGAGGGAACTGCCTTTTATAGCTGCAATTTATATTATGGAGACAATGAAGAAATCAGAAATATGTGGACTATTATGAAAAAACAAGGTAAAAGGAAGAACAAAAACAGAAAAACCAATTCAATACCAAAACGAAAATCACACAGTACTCAGGACTGTGAAGGCCCTGGTCTTTGACTGACTGTAGCCTGCTTAGGAGTGTGGGTGGGCTTTACAATCAGATAGACCTTAGTTCAAATCTGGTTTAACCATTCATTACTTGTATAACCTTGGGCAAATCACTTAACCTCTCTGACCTTAAGCTCCCCTGTAGATAAGTGGGAGTAAAGGTTGTAAAAATCAAATGCAATTACTTATGTAAAGAGCCTAATATAGTATCTATCACATTGTGCCAATAATCAACACATTTCCAACACATCTCCTACAGTAGGCATTGCAAAAGACATCTCCTACTCTCCAGTCTAGAGAGAAAATAGGGATGTACAAATATAAAAATAAAAATAAAAACCAAAGCAAAGCAAGAGGTACATTAGTTTCAAAGTGCAATGGGATATTACAGATGGAAAGATCGTATATACCATCTTCTCTTGATTATGAGAGAAGCATATTAAGAATCACTTTAACATTTAACATTTAATTAATGTATCGTACAGTGAATGTACATATATAATTTAATATTTTCTTTGCAAAAACCTGCTATTACATCAATAGTACATCTTGCAACAGATGGTATGTTAGAATCAAGAAAATACGGTAACTAAAGAAATTAAAAGTTTTATGGATCAACTAGCATTTCAGATGGGACTCAAAGGATAGGTAAGATTTGGACAGGCATAGTGGGTGCTCACTATGAGAGGTAGGTATTAGAGACTGAAGGATTTATAAAAGCAAAGGCACAGAAATAAGCACGAAATTTTTCAGACATTGGTTAACAGTGTAATCTAGCCAAAGCCTAAGCTACATGGTGGAAGTAATAAAAACAGAATTGCAAACATGAGATCTTTGGAAACAGACTGGAATTCAGGAAAAGTCTGCTTACTTACATTACTTCCCAATTGGGCAGTATTTCATTGATCCAAATTACCATTGCACTTGCAATATTTTCTTCTTGTTTAAATCGTTCTTTCATTATCTTTTTTCTTTTATGTGCTTCTTTAATTTCTGTTTTAAAGAAGAATGATTTCAATACAAAAGAGCTAAATCAAAACACCCTTCTTCTACCTGTCTACAGAAGATGCTTTCTCAAAAAGAATACTCCAATAACAAGGATGGAAGGAAGGGAGGGAGGGAAGGAGAGGAGGAAGTAAAGACAGGGAAAGAGAAGAGGGGGAAAAAGGAAGAAAATGAACATGATTAAGATAATTTTAAAGTAATATTTCCTCTTCTACAAATGGAAAAAGGTCAGAAAAATCATTTAAATAATTATTTTATCACACATCCTGTTTATGCCTAATCAATGAACTGAAAATTGTCATGAATTAACTATGTAAAAAATAACTGTGAGCAACTAACCAATACCCTTTCTTCATACAAGAGGTTTATGAATTTCCTCACGTAAAATCACATGACATTAAAAAATGATGTTGCCAATGTTATTACTACAATGAACCCTTTCTGGTATGTTTTACTCTATGAATTAGATTGAAATAAACTCTCTAGCACACACATAAACACAATACCCCTCTGAAATCAGAAGTCAGAATTTTGAAAAAAGAGATGCCTCAAAAATAGACAAGTATTATATATATATGTATATAATTTTATATTGTATATATATATGTATATACTTTTAGAACCAGTGGGGAATTAAGCAATCAGCTAGCCGAACTGTTTTCTAATTGTTTCACATGTGCCTCAGAAACCACCTTAAGGGGCAAGCAGCTCAGCTTTCTTTCATTTGTTTTATATACTCAGATTCTATGTTATGATTTCTTTGGAAAGGTTCCATTGCTTTAAAAAAAAGTGCTTATGGTGAGGATTGAAAGCCTGTTCCCATACTCAACAGATGAGGAAACTAACATTAGGTCTATGTAGAGTGTTACATCCAGGTAGTGTCAAACAGGATTAAAGCACTGACCTTCTCATTTCCCAATTCCAAATTATTTCCATCATATCATGTTGTTAGGTTTGTGCACATATCAAATATCTTATATACTGATGAAATAGTAAAATCAATGTTGAGAGTCAGTTAAAATTTGTTGCATATGTTAGAAAAATTTCAAAGTCTGTACAGTAAAATAAACTCAACCAATGTGTAAATAATTAGGCCTTTTAGAAAGCTATAACTGGTCGTATAGGCTTACTAAAACATTAAAGAACTAACTTCATTTCCAAAACAGTGCCACAAAATAGAACTGTATACTATGATAATATTCCATTCACTTGGTCAAAGAGAAAAATCAGTTGTTAAAAAGGCCTATGTCTAAAAATATATACAGCTGTGTAACATTTTCTAAAACATATCCTGAATTGACACAGTTAGTACATAAATACTGTTATATTATCCTTACGTTATACTTTTTAGTTGGAGGGGAGAATGAATGAATAAGTGTGGGAATTTATACACATGAGACTATTTGTTCATGTGCCTGTCCAAAGAGTATGACTGGGATTCTATAAAGACACCATTAAGTCACAAAAGAAGTTTTAATTTTAAATCATAATCTCACAGCCATATAGGAAGTTACCTTAAAGTGTTAAAATTATTAAATTATAAGATACCAAAAGTTTAAAAAAGAAGTGAATTTCATGAGTAAATTCAAGAATAATATCTTCAATTCTAAGTTAGTAGTAGTCCAAGATTTATGACTATATTACAAAGTCCATCATAGATAGTCTGTTGCCTTTCTCCTCATATATTTTTTATAAAAGTACTTTCAGAAAAACTATGATTGGAGTATTACATTTTACTTCTCTTTAGGTACAGATTTAGTTAGAAAAATAAGAAATCAGCATCATCTTAAAGACATACTTGATCAATTTCACCATCTTACCCTCCTGTTGAATGAAATTAGTAAATCAAATATACTAATTGGAGTTAAATTTTATACCTCGTTTTTTAGCCTCAGCCACCATCTCATCATATTCTTGTCTGTGACGTGAAGCTTCTTCCATGGATTTTGCAGGAAGATTTCTGGGAGAAAAAACAATTCTTAAAACAATTTGAAAAAGATTTTTAATGTATTAACTTCTTCCTTTTTATAGCCAGATACAAAAAATTTCTGACCTCATTTCATACATTAATGTTGAAAAGAATTCTACATTTTAGAAAAGAATTGGAACACAGACTACTAATATTTGTTATATATGTTATTATATTTATGTCATATGTATATTTATATATTAAACATGTCAGATTTCAGCCAATATTTCTAAGTTATTTGTTAAACTCACTACAGGTTTTTTTTTCTTTCTTTTTTTTTTAAAATTAAGGTACCATTGATATACAATCTTATGCTCAGGTTTCATATGAGCAACATTGTGGTTACTACATTCCCCCCTATTATCAAGTCCCCACCATATACTCCATTATAGTCACTGTCCATCAGTGTAGTAAGATGCTATAGAGTCACTACTTGTCTTCTAACTGTGCTATACTGCCTTCCCCATGCCCACCCCCATATTATGTATAATATATAATTATATATTATATACAAAAAGCTCATTGTAATGCCCCTTTTCCCCCTTCTCCCTCCCTTCCCAGCTCCCTTGCCTTTGGTAACCGTTAGTCCATTTTTCGGTTCTACCACAGTTGTTTTTTTTTGTTGTTGTTGTTCACAAGGATAAATTGGTCATAGGTTTTTTTTAATACAATTTTTTTTATTACACTTGTTTTTAAGTAAGCTTTTAAAGGTATAATTTATATACAATAAAGTGAATGTGCTTGTTTTAGAGTACAGTTCAATGAATTTTGCCAAATGTATGTATCTGTGCTACCAATATACTAGTCAAGATATAGAACATTCTCATCACTCCACAAAGTTTTCCTGTGATCCCTTTGCACTCAATACTCACCTATCTTCTACCTTATAGGGAATCACATCTATGATTTCTATCACTACATCAGTTGGTTGCCTTTAAAAGAATTTCATATATACTCTTTTGTGTCAGGCTTTTTTTGCTCAGCATATTTTTGAAATTCATTCATATTGGTCTGTGTATTAGTAATGTATTCCTTTAAATTTATGAGGAGTGTTTCATTAATCCACACGGATGAGCATTTAGATTGTTTCCAGTTTGGGGCCACTATAAATTAAGGTATTAGAAATATTAATTTAAGTCTTTGTGTTGGCATGTTTTCATTTCTCTTGGGTAAAAACCAAGGAGTAGAATTCTTGGGGTATATGGTAAGTGCAGGTATACTTCTATAACAAACTGCTTTCTGCTTTTAGAGTTTTAAGATAACATTCGAAATAAAATATGACCATCAGTTAATCCCTTGCATCTATTTTGGTTTATAAAATCAATGGTTTCACAGAGTCAGTGATTTAGATATATAACTAGGCAAAAAGAAATACATTTGACTATTATCACGTATCCAAATTTATCATAATAATGTCTGGGTTTTTGCCTCAGTTTTTAAAATTATTTCCAACAGGCTAAGGTGGGCAAGGATATTTTGCTTCTTCCTCTCAAGTTAAGATTCCTCATATATGTTGCAGCATAGAAAACTAATGGTTGAGGTTTTGCTTCAGAGCATAATGGAATAAGAGGGACCAGGTTTGCCCTCTCACCTTAATTTAAAAAATCAAATAAGAATATATTAAACAACAATATTTAGACACTGGACAATAGGCAGTGCAAGACAGTGATCCTTATGAGAAAGGAAACAAACAAGGTAACCATGCAAGTGCCTAAATTTAGTTTCCAGGTGTCAGTGCTTGAAGGGAGCACCCCAAAAGAGTCTTGCTGAGTTGAGGGAACAGTTTGGAGGTGGAGAGTGTGAGATAGCTAAAATTTTCACATCAGAGTATTAAAGAGGAGCCCTCTCAAGTCTTCGGGTGAATACAGATTCATGCACGTGTGTAATGAAACTACGGCAGAGAAGGAAGGAAGTACCAGAAAGAAACTGGAAGGACAGTCCTAAAATTCACGCACCAGCAGCAGTGGAAAGATCTTCTAACAAAGATGGCATCTGGTGGCATCCTTAGGGTATTTCTTCAGTGGTGAAGATGAATTAGCTCTAAACTAAAGGCTATTCTAGAACACCCTACAATGATTAGGTCAAAAGGAACAAACGAAATCAAAATAACTATGTGCCAGACTAAAGCCAAAAAATATGTAAAATATCACCAAGAAGTCTAGTATCCAACTATGTAAAATCACAATACCTGCTGTCTAATAAAAATCATTAGGAATACAAAGAAGAAGGAAAATAAAATTCATAATGAAAATAAAAAATCAACCAACAGAGGTGCTCAAAATGGCGGCGTGAATAGGGCAGTAGAAATCTCCTTCCAAAACCATATATATTTTGAAAATACAGCAAATACAATTATTCCTAAAAGAGAGACCAGAAGATACTGTACAACAACCAGGCTACATCTATATCTGCGAGAACTCAGCATCCCATGAAAAGGGTAAGATACAAGCCATGACCCGGCGGGACCAGAGTACTCCCCCCACCCTAGCTCACCAGCAGGAGGAAAAGAATCCGAGCGGAGAGGGAGTGGAAGCACAGGACTGCTAAATACCCAGCTCTAGTAATCTGCACCGGGAGCACAGACACACATTGCATGGTGTACTGGATATTAGAGAAATGGAAAAGTAAAATCCAAGATGGAGACTGCGAGTGGGTCCCCACAGCCGGCTCCCCTGGGACAAAAGAAAAGCAGGCTCTTTAAAAGTCTTAAAGGGACAAGAGTATAACAGGTGGACAAAATCGCCCTGGCACACTCAGTCCAGCAGTGTGGGAATCTTAAGGAACTTCAGGCACCCAAACCCCCTGAGGGGCAATGCAGCTCTGAAGCCCCTCATGGCAATAAGCAGCCTACCATACATTGTGTCCTGCTGGCACTGCAAGGAAGCCAGCTGACCGGCCATTGCTGCAGACCAGCTGGGGAGCATCCCTGCCCATAGCAACCACACAGTCTTCTCCCAGAGCACAGCCAGACCCAAAGGCTGCCACCAGCATGCAGCTGCCCAGCACAGACAGAGGAAGCCAGCGCAAATCCACAGGCATGAAGAGGCACCGTTCTTGCAGGAGAACAAATGCTGTGTGCCTGAGACCCCCGGCAGTCTCCTAGGACATCCCGAGGGCTGCCCCGCCCACGGGAGCTAAGGGAATTAACCCAGAGACTGCTCCCTGTGTGTGGGTAACTGGCACAGGCAGCGAAGAGGAGCAACATGACCAACAAGCAGGAAGGGACTTTATTCTCCCAGCTGACACACTGGCCACTTGCCAGCAATCACTTTTATCACCAGGAAAATGCAGAAGAACTTGGTCCAATCCAAAATCACTCAATGCCAGAGAGAGGGCCTGGCGAGATAGATATAATGAATTTTCCTGAAAAAGATTTCAAAATAAAAGTCATAACCATGCTGATAGAGCTTCAGAGAAATATGCAAGAGCTAAGGGATGAAGTCAGGAGAGAGATTACAGAAATGAAACAATCAATAGAAGGACTTAAGAGCAGACTGCATGCGGTGTAAGAGAGTGTTAATGGAACAGAAATCAGAGAACAGGAATACAGAGAAGCTGAGGCAGAGAGAGATAAAACGATCTCTAGGAATGAAAGAATATACAGAGAACTGTGTGACCAATCCAAACAGAACAGTATTCACATAATAGGGGTACCAGAAGAAGAAGAGAGAGAAAAAGGGATAGAAAGTGTCTTTGAAGAAATAATTGCTGAAAACTTCCCCAAGCTGGGGAAGGAAATAGTCTTTCAGCCTATGGAAGTCCACAAATCTCCCAACAGAAGGGACTCAAGGAGGACAACACCAAGACATATAATAATTAAAATGACAAAGATCAAAGAAAAGGACAGGGTATTAAAGGCAGAGAGAGAGAGAAAAAAGATCACCTACAAAGGAAAATCCATCAGGCTATCATCAGAATTCTCAGCAGAAACATTACAGGCCAGAAGAGGCCATGATATATTTTGTGCAATGAAAAAGAAGGGCCTTTAACCAAGAATATGGTACACAGCACGATTATAATTTAAATTTGAAGGAGGGATTAAACAATTTTCAAATAAGCAAAAGTTGAGGGAACTTGCCTCCCACAAATCACCTCTACAGAGTATTTTAAAGGGACTGCTGTAGATGGATCTACTCCTAAGGCTAAATAGATGTCACCACAGAAAATAAAATCACAGCAAAGAAAGCAGACCAACCAAATACTAACTAAAGGCAAAATATAAAATCAGCTATCCACAAAAGTAGTCAAAGGAAACACAAAAGAGTACAGAATAAAACACCTAACATATAAAGAGTTGAGGAGGAAGAATAAGAAGGGAGAGAAATAAAAGGTCATTAGACTGCGTTTATAATAGAATAATACGTGAGTTAAAGTTAGATAGTTAGATAGTAAAGAAGCTACCCTTGAACTTTTGGTAACCATGAATCCAAAGCCTGCAATGGCAATAAATACATATCTATCAATAATCACCATAAATGTAAATGGACTGAATTCACCTATCAAAAGACACAGGGTAATAGAATGGAAGAAGAAGCAAGACCAATCTATACGCTGCTTACAAGAGACTCACCTCAAACCAAAAGACATACACAGACTAAAAGTGAAGGGATGGAAAAAGATATTTAATGCAAACAATAGGGAGAAAAATGCAGGAGTTGCAGTACTTATATTGGACAAAATAGACTTCAAAACAAAGAAAGTAACAAGAGATTAAGAAGGACATTACATAATGATAAACAGGGCAGTTCAACAAGAGGATATACCCATTATAAATATCTATGCACCGAACATAGGAGCACCGATACATGTGAAACAAATACTAACAGAATTAAAGGAGGAAACAGAATGCAATGCATTCATTTCAGGAAAATTCAACACACCACTCACTCCAAAGGACAGATCAACCACAGAGAAAACAAATAAGGACATAGAGGCACTGAACAACACATTAGAACAGATGGACTTAACAGATATCTACAGAATTCTACAAC